AAATTGAAAAAGATGAAATATTTAGAATGAATATTTAGAATTCGTGTTTTTTACGTTTTAAATTGGCGATATTGCCGTTTCCACGAAGAAACAATATTTTGCATCGACATGTACTGATTATGTAAGAGATTGTATTTACTTGCACAAACAAAATAAGAATTGAATAATAAAAAAATGTATGATTTCTTTTATTTTAATCAATAATCAAATTCTATAAATAAAAATTTTGGTATATGGTAAGTATTATAATGGCAAGTAAAACTTACAAAATTTAAAAAAAGATGTAATAAACTTTATTTTTTAATTTTTGAATTAAATTATTAGAAAATTAAAATTAAAATTAAATTTTAAATGCAATAATTATATTGTTATAATAAAAATATTTATTTAAAATTAACATAAGGTCTAATTTAAAATAATTTCAGCGAATTATATCAAAGATTTATTCATTATATTATACAGAATTTATCGTATTATAGTACGCATAGCGGATCGTAATACATATCCTCATAGAAAAAAACATTTGGGAAAATTACTTGAATAAACATATACGAGATCGATATACATTCGTGTAAATAAATCTGCAATTGTGAAGTTATTTCTTTAGTATTACTATACATTTTTTTTTCATTATTTTGAACATTCGTAAAAATATGCCACTTGTATGGTATCATTCGTACTGTAACGTCATAAACTAACACTAAGTCAAGCGTAAAACACATTAATCGATCAGTTTCGCAATTGGAACAAGAAAAAGATTCATATAAATACTTTACATAGCGATGTCTCGAATTTGATATTTTAAGTTCTCATACTTACGAGTTCCTAATACCTATGAGTTTCTAATACCGAGTGCTTGTTCTAATTCCGCGCGTTTCTGTTGAACTTTCGTATAGAAATATCGACAAACGGCTTCCTGTGCCCATGGTTGATAATAAAATTCTGCTCTACGTTCCTCTTCAGGATTCCCAACAACATCTATCATAGTTTTTAAATCCCTTGTTTGCGAAATTATCCATTTATTGATAAATTGTTGAGGATCTTTAACGAAACTTAAAAAAAATTCTCGATTTGTTTTTAATTGATTAATTGTTTCAACCGTTTCGTGAATTTTATTATCGAGACTCTGGATTTCCTGTTGACTTGCGGTGGAAAGTAAAAAGTTATTCATTTGCGTTTTTAATGTATCATCAACTTCTACATCTATATCATAACACGCAGTCTGTTTCGTTTCTGTACCTAATTTAAAATCCAATAAAAAGTATATTACAAAAATCTTAAAATATGAAATATCTGCATATATTAATTATTACTGATAAATACCTTCAACACTAATAACATGATTGATTACGATTGGATCTGGCGGATGAAGTAATGGATTTAAACGCTGTGGTATTTCAGCGAATTTCATCCTTGAACAAGCAAATATTTGCTCTAAATACTTATCACAATTTATAAATTCCCTTTCATGACTGTCTTGAAGTTTATGTGTTTTTATATATTGCCAAAGAGCGGATATAATAACGGGTCGCGTTTGGGTATGTACACCTAAAAGCCGTGCTAATCTAGGATCTAGTTTAAACTGCAACCAAAAAATTTTTCTCTTAAATTTTATTCATATTTATATTTTTATTTTATTTAATTATATTAAAAATATGCGAAAAATTTTTATCTTTATTTTAGATTATAAAAATTACGATATTCGTATTTTGAGAAGTTTGTTTTAATATTTCAATTTGATTAAAATGTCAGTTTTGATTAGAATGCAAGTTTTATTAAGTAAGCAAAGAATGAATAAAAAAATATAGAAAGAAAGTTACCTGTAAAGGTTGGTAATCAAGAAGTAAAAGAATAGTGCATTGAACATTTTTATCTCCAGGTCTTTTTACTTGAAAACCATCTGTTTCTTGTGTTGTTAATGTGCGATGCCATTCAACTAAGTGATTATCAGGTCCATATAGATCTCTATCTAATTCTATAACTAAACTTTTAAAAAAGGAAGAAAACTTTCTTTTCACCTAAAATTGAAATATTATATTATATTATATATTAATATGCATTTTTAACGATCGTTTATTTCTTCTTCTAATAATTTTAATACCTTATTAGGATCATTTTTTGTATCATCTAAAAGACGTCCTTCAACTCTAAGTTCCCAAGATGCAACTGATCCTTCTTCGCCTTCACCAGCTTCTTTTGCCGGATAAAATGTATTAGAAATAAATATCCGTAATTTTCTTTTTTGTTTCATTGGACGTTTTAGAGCTTCTTGTATATCGAGTCGTTTTCTCATTATAGTCGCGTCTAATTTTCTTTCAAACGCGAGTAAGTCCATGTAAGCCTGAGATTCAGGTACTAAATCGCGCACTTTTTGTGGCAATATTTTATCTGCCAACTTTTTCTTCTTCTTGGATGTGGAATGTGAAAAATCACTGTTCCAAAAATACCTATATGAGTTTGTGTAAAAATCATAGATTCAAAAATCAATAAACCAATTTTGAAGCTTATGAAATGCAGTGAAGTTCCTGGTGAATTTGGTGAATGGTTTTTTAAAATATTGCAATTTCAATGACAAAATAAATTAATAATCCAATGATTAAAAAATCAAATAATCAATTGACATATTGCTTTTTGAAATATGAAATAATAAATACTAAGAATTATTTTTCAATAAAAATGACTAATCAATACATTTATTAATAATTTAATGCAATGAGTTAATGAGCAAAATAACATAAATATAAATGCAAAATTTAATAAAATCATGCATTATTAATGCACTTACGGTTTCTGTTGTGACATAGGAATACGTTGATCTGCACTTCTTTTCCCAACTGGTGGAGTAGGCATAGGTCCTTGACGCATATTTGAATAAGGTTGATTTGCTCTTATTATACTAGCTGGTCCAGGTCCTGCATTGGCCATTTGTGGAGGAGGAGTAAATCCAGATCTCTGTTGCATCTGCACAATGAATTGATTTAAAAATTTATTTTATTTACCTCAATTACTCAACTTATTAAATACTTACAGGAAAATTTGGACCAGAATATTGTCGAAGATTTGGAGGCACAGATGATGCTGCATATCTTTGTGGAGGAGGACCATTATTCCCTGTATTTGGTACAGGAAATCTTTGTGCCATGTTTCTTTGGTGATTATCCTACTGATTGAAATCAATAAACTTTTTATGTATACAAATATTCTTAAATTATTTATGATTAATAAGTACAATTATTATATATAATGTGAATTAAATTATTCATAATTTATTATTATAACAAAATCATACGAGTACTATCAAAATGTACAATAGTTTATTAAAAAAGTAAATTTATTTACATCTTATTATTGTACATAAAATCGTTTATTTTTACAAAGAAATAAAAATTAGTATCTTTTAAACATTGAAACTTTTCTGTCAAATCATTTGAGAAATCAAAAACATAACCTTTAAAAGCGTATCTAATTATAACCTTACTTAGATCACAATTATTTATATTATTTTATAAGTAATATAACATTATTAATTAATAATAAAATTCACAAAATGATAAGAAGATGAGAGTAAATATTAAACACTGTTAGAACTTTCGACAGATTTCATCCATCAGAATCGAGTGCATTTTTCTATCACAACACAGTTCTACTTGGAACGCTTCAAACTGCAATATTTTATGGCTTCATGTGAGTTGAAATATGGAAAAAGAAACAGAGAAAAAAAGAATATAAAATAAATCCTGTGGATAATGAAAAAATAACCTACGTTTTTAAAGCTTCTATCCACTTTCTGGTACGTAAAGTAATAATATAAGTTCCCGAAAAGCGGCAGATTATGGATAAACAAGTTTTCTATTTCATCCTTAAGAGGGCATCATTGTGTTGCATTTGTAGGGATTCTTTTTATGTTGACTGCAGTGTGTAATGTAATTTTAAATTATTGAATCTAATCAAACAAAAGAATCGATTTAATATAATTAATAATCGATGAAAATGATATATGAAATAAATTTTTATGAAAAAATAAATCTAAAATAAAACTATATTATATCAATATTTTTAAAAACCATTTTTATCACTTTATTTTTTATTTAAAAAATTTAATTTTTTAATAAAAATTTATTATAACATAGATATTATGTTTTAATAAATCGAATAATGAAATTTTAACATATTATTTTCTTTAATATAAAATTAAAAAAGTAATAAAACATTTTTTTTTTAAATATTTTAAATATTATTAAACCTTTATTTATATTTTTCAATAAAATAATAAAAAGTTTTTTGAAAAATTCATGTTATAAATTTCATAGATATTGATATAAATTTTCAAAATCCTTTACTATATAATAATACTTTGAATTCCTTTTAACATTGAATAAATGATTAATAGATATTAATAATAGAATACCTTGAATACTACGCCCATGCAAATTCTTATAAAAATATAATAATAATTAATCCTAAATTGCATGGAGATTTTATTTTGAACGATTCACATTTAAATTATAAATATTTAAATTCAAAATTAAATATAAAGATTAAATATTGATAAATAATTTCATCTATTTTTCTTGTGAGATAATCGTTAGAAAAGATAAAAATAATTTCCGATTTAACAGATTAACGTATTAAATGTACCATCATATTTACATTATTATACAGATTATATACAGATTTTATATCATTATATAGATATATTTTATCAGAAATTCTAATAATAGATATAATATTGATATATATGATAGTGTTTCTAAATGAACGAGTTTTAATAGTTTTTGATTTAAAAATATTCGAAATAATCAAAATTATTGAATTCAATAAAAAGTATACTGACAGCAAAAAGAGGAAATGAAAATACGCAGGATGTCGCGATTATATTTAAACCTGAGTCACTAGTTAACGATTTCGCCACTGAATAATCTTTCATATCATTGAAATAAAAGTTATGATTGCACAATTCTTCATTTTTGTTTTTTGATGATTTGAAAATTATTTAATATCTTTAACAAAATCTTCAATTTAAATTATGAAATTCTTTATAATTTTTTACAATTAAGAAATATCAATATTACGTAGTTTAAATTTTATATTCATTTGTATATGTATTTCAAAAGGAAAAGAATGATTTTAAAATATATAAATAATAACTATAAAGTTATTATTTATTATATTCCTGATATTTCTTAGTTACTTTAATTTATAATAAATAATCAAACTTCAAGAATATATATATATATTTTGTACACAAAAAAATTGAATTTTTTTTTAGATTTTAAAATTTTAAAAAATCTTTATACAAAAGCGCCATCTTCAATAAAAAATTTTAAATTATCTATATTTTGGCGGGTTTTCGTTGGCTCTCTACATAAATTCAAAAAGTAGATCAATTCAATAATAACTCGACCTATATAACGGTTAGTTATTTAAAGAAAAAACGTTTTAAAGAAAACACAACATCTTGCGTAAATTAAAATTTCTTTTTCTTTTTTAAATGTCTGAAACTCACTTTATAGTCATGTAAAATCTAAGAAACAATATAACTATCTAATGAATGAAATTGGAGATTTTTTAGATTTAGATCTTTAATAATTTGTAAAAAAATTTTTTTATTTATCAAATACATATTTTATTTATATTATTTTACTACAATTAAATTTAAAATTTATTAGTCATTTTTTTAAAAATGGTAAAAATGATAAAATGATAAAAAACTCATTTTTTAAAAAATTTTTTAAAAATTTATTTACAAAATTTAGATTTTATTATTATTATTATATATTTCAATATAACCAATGCTTAAATAAATAACATGATTGATCGTTCAAAATAAAAGAAAGAAAGTCAGTGAACAATCAGTATAATCAAGAAAGCGGAAGTAGAATCTGTCTAGAATTAGTCAGCCTTCCAAGTCATTACCAATATTTCTACCAAAAAGGATCAAACAAACCAGACATTGCATATTGAAAATGCGAAACAAAGTACAGAATAAAATAACTATCATGTACAAAATAATCATTTTCCATATATACACAGATACTTGATTCATCTCATTTTCATTAATTCCAAAATCATATTATTACCTCTCACGTGTATACATCTCTCTTTTTAACGATGAGTCCTTCAATCCTTTCTTAGAAAATTTCTTAGAATAGAATTATTCAAGAAAGTAAAACAGTTTTGACGGTATTCTTTGCAAAAATGAGCACCGTGTTGAAAGTGAATATCTGATCATCCCTGAGGATAATTCTCGAGAGTTTAAATATACTTGCACTCTTGTTCACGGATTTCTTCTTAAATCTATGTGATCACATCCATATCCTATCCATTGCATGCGTAACGATTCCCCGTGTTTATCGTAGAGATGCAGTTTGGCAGCCGCGATTTTGGAAATCCTACTATCCAAGTGAATAAGCCGCTAATATTAGATCGTCGAAAAGCGTGGAAAGCACGTACACGGACACGGATGTAGCGTGGTCTTTTTCGAAACACACGAGGTCTCCACCCGTGTTGGACACCTTCCTTCGGAGCGTGGGTCGTATTCCCGCCATCTTTCACGACTATAAGAAGGAGCAGCCCTCGGACCAAGCACTTCAGTCCTCTTCAAGAAACTACGCAGGATACAAGGATGGCTCTCGAACGTCAAGTGCGCGCCAAGGTATGATAACACGAGGATCTTTGTGCATCGTCGATCAGTAATCGTGGACGAATCGTTTAGTTCGCAGGGATCGTTGCAACTTGATCTCGCTCAGAATGGCTTTCCAAATTCCATTTTGTGAATTATTGTCACTTTTATTAACGGCATTATTGGCGACAATTTGCTGAAATTAAAATCGTATTTATTAGAGTTTTTACAAAGAGGATTTTTGTTTTTCGTCTTTTTTCTTCTTCTGAATATTTGAAATTTTGGATTTGAGAACTTTGGACACAAGTTTCACGCGAATGTTAAACGAGTTTTTGAGGGAAAGAATTTGCAAAATATATTTAGAAATGTCTTTAAAAATATTTTTCTTAAAAATGTATTATATGCATGAAACTAGAATCTTGTAAATGATTGTTGATTAATAAAAAATATATATATATATATTTAGATTTAATATATAAATTTTACGATATTCCAACGATGTTATGAGAACTGTAATTTCATTTTAATTTTTCTCTTTTCATAGATCGCTGCAAAGCGTAATCCAGAGCAGGAAAAAGAAGCTCAAGAATGGATCGAGTCTATTTTGGGCAAAAAATTCCCACCTGGTGAACTATTCGAGGATGTTATTAAGGATGGACAAGTGCTGTGTCACCTGATGAACAAGATTTCCCCAGGATCGATCTCAAAGATCAACAGTTCTGGTGGCCAATTCAAAATGATGGAAAACATCAACGCGTAAGATTTTCTTTTATGATAAATTAAAAATATAATTGTATAAATTTAAAAAAAAATATTTAAAATATAATATTGCAACTATGATAAATTTATTATTCATTGAATTATATTATCTGGGAAGAGATTTTTAAATTCTATTTCGAATTAGGTTCCAGAAAGCTCTAAAGGATTATGGCGTAGCTGACGTTGATGTATTCCAAACAGTCGACTTGTGGGAGAAAAAAGACATTGCACAGGTTGTGACGACCCTCTTTGCTCTTGGTCGTACGGTAAGTTAGCTAAGAGTTGATTTATATGTATCATTAAATATAAATGGAGCAATATCAATTACAGTGCATTTAGTTATAGCATCATGAATAGTAGATATATAATGATATTAGATATAATGAAATAGACGTATAATGTCCAAAAAAATAGCATTGAATATTTAACATGAATGAAGTAATCCATAAATGGATTAATAATATATTTCATGAATGGAATGAAATTGAGCATTGCTTCAAATTTCAATTCAAATTTTAGTTTTTCAAATTGAAAGCTTTTTCTTATATTAAATTTAAAATATCACTAATAATATTTCTTTCTAGTATTATTTTTGTAACTAATAACTTTTCTAAGTTCATTGGTTTCATGTGAAATTCTCCTTTTTTTCCATAGACGTATAAGCACCCAGAATGGAAAGGACCCTATCTAGGACCCAAACCAGCTGATGAATGTAAACGTGAATTCACTGAGGAGCAACTGCGTGCTGGGCAAACCGTGATTGGTCTGCAAGCCGGTTCCAATAAAGGTGCTACCCAATCGGGTCAAAGCATTGGTGCCACCCGTAAGATTCTTCTAGGAAAGTAAATCCTAATTGGTTTAGATCCAAGAAAAATTTATATTTTGTATGTACGTGTATATATATATTGTACTTATTTTGTATTTTGTAATTAAATAATATATATATATATAACATATATTTATAATTTAAGAACGAATTGGTTTAATCGATATTATCCTTGATCCATTAGGTCCATCACAGTATAATCTGTCTACAGTAAGTCGGATATTTTTAATTTTCTTCTCGACAAGATTAGATAAAAATATGAGACAAAGTAGTGAATAAAACAGATGGTCAGTAATAATTTTATTACATTGTTTAGTAGAAGCATCACGTGTAGTATTTTTGATCTCTAAATACAGATCTCACTTTTCTTAATTTATCGTATGATTTATTTTGATAGGTATTTTCGAAATTTTCGCTATTTCCAAATTTTCAAAATTAGCAATTTTGTTTCTAAGAATCTTTAGATTGTCAGGAAACGCATCTCTAGATGTGTTTAATTGAGAATTAAATTTGATAAAAAATGTCACATTGTTGAAAAGAATAGAAAAAAAGGAAAGAGAAAAGAGAGAAAAGCTAAGGGAGAAAAATTTTGAGAAAAATTTTAACAAATCGTGATGACGTAAAGGATATAATTAGAACGAAAGGAATAAAAATATACGACTTCTCGAAGGTTACCATGATTTACAGAAAGTTTAGAT